CATCACAAACCAGTATGTGTGGCAGTGAAAGCATGCTGGCAAGAAACTGTCCATTCGAACTTCTGGCCCTTTTTTGTTAAATCATGTAGTGGAGCAACTATAGTTGCAAAGTCCTTCACAAACTTCCGGTAATAAGTACAGAGTCCCTAGAAACTTCTTAAGACTCACACATTGTCTGGTGTTGGCCAATCATGCACTGCTTTCACCTTGTCAGGATCAGTTTGCACACCATGCTCACTTACAATGTGACCTAAGTAAAGCATCTCTTTCCGGAACAAGTAGCATTTCTTCAAATGGAGTTTGAGGTTCGCTGCTTTCAAACGCTTGAATACTTCATCTAGCCGGGACATTTCCTCATCAAAAGTTGTTGCAAATACAATGACATAATCCAGGTACACTAGGGCTATACTCCATTGTAGGTCTTCCAGTACTCTTTCCATCAGCCTCTCAAATGTTGCAGGAACATTGCTAAGAAAATATGTAGGATCAGAAAAGAAACCAATAACCTTAGCACTTTTGGAATGTGGACTTTTCTTCATCATGTATAAATGGCAAAATGATAAAAAATATGTACAGGGATTTATGTTTGATAATTGCTTTTAAAAGTTATTTATGTTATGGTCAAGATTCTTCTGCATTGCAAAATGTTATTAAAACCTGAAGAACGTGCATGCAAAACATTGTTTGGAATTCCTGTAATGGTTTTTAAGGCTTGAGTGGGACACCTATAGTAATGTTATGTCTGTGTTCGTTTGTTAATTTCCCGTCTCTGGTCGTTTATTAATTTCCCGTATAATTTCTTTCGGATGAAACTTTAGCGATACAAGTCCTTTCTTAAATAAAACTAGTTTATTCTTTCTCAATACAACTTTTCAATACACTTAATTTCCACAGTCACTTTAACTTAAACACATGCTATAATTCACAACGATTTACACACTTTACTTACGGCTTGACTTGATTATCTGTCTCTATCTCCCTGTCTGCTATTCAATTATTTCACCCACTTTATTTGCCAGTCTTATATATACAAAATAGAGGGTGTCTTGAGCCTTCAGGAACCTTCTAGATACTCATTACATGTTACCAGCATCACATGACTTCCGCTGTTGTAACAGTAACAACAATCTTGTGAGACATTTACAGTAATTCTCTCATCAAAGTTTCTGTTATATTTAAATAAACAAATATATTTAGCTCCATAACCTGGAGACTGAAGTCTTTATGTTTATGTTATCATTAAATTCAAAATGTTTTTAAAAAATAACTAATCAAAGTTAAGATATTTTGGTGAATTGTGATATCTTTCACACCATTTGATATAATGACTGAGTAGAAATCTAGAGTGAGAAAAAATCTGAATGTTAAAGTAGTCTCCACAAAAGATGAAAATTATAAACTATTTTTACTGATATAATAAGTATATATACTGTGAGCCTACCCTTTTTAACTTTAATCTGTTTTTCACTATTTCAGTGCATACATCGTGATGTTAAACCTGAAAATATTCTTTTAACCAAAGAGGGTATAGTGAAGCTGTGTGATTTTGGCTTTGCTAGGACATTAAGTAAGAATTCCAAATTTAGTTTAGTTTATGTTTTACTCAATTTTTTGTTAAAATTTGGTGTAATGCTTGCCAAGTTTTTACGTAAGACTATTGTGAATTGCTCCAAATTTATACATTATTTGAGCCATATATATAAAAGTGTGACAGTAGTTCTTATGAGTTCAACCTGTAAAGAAATATTTCATCATCATTATCATTGTAGATTAAAGCTTTTTCAAAGTATTTTGTGTAGTTTCTACCTATAAAGAGATTCAGTTTAAAACATAAATTATAATACACTGAAACCCCTTCAAAATGTGGCAGATTTAGTTACATTTGTAATAGTCCTTTATTTAACAAAGTAACACATTTTGACTGTTTTCTGTATTCTTGTATTTGCACACCTAACCTTCTTGCTAGAGAATGGATAATGACATATTAATGGTTGTTATCTTAATATACCTCACTTTTATTATGTGTTTAATTGTTTTTATTGGATGGTTCTGGTTTTCCTTACATATTATTAGTTTTGCTTTTTATATGTAAAGGTCAGATAGAAAATTTGTTTCTAGGCCCTGGTGAAAACTACACTGATTATGTGGCCACTCGGTGGTATCGAGCTCCTGAATTATTAGTAGGAGACACACAGTATGGACCAGCTGTAGATGTGTGGGCCATTGGTTGTGTTACAGCAGAGCTGATGAGAGGAGAGGCCTTGTGGCCTGGGAAATCAGACGTGGATCAACTTTACCTGATCAGAAAGACCTTAGGTAGAAATAACCAAATTCTTTCAGTACAGTTACTCTAATTATAATTGTCTACTTTCAATTTTAATGAAAATGTGATCACATTTTCAAGTTTTCAATAAAATGATGTAAATACTTTTGTGTTAGTTCTCTGTGTAATTCATATTAATTTCTGAACAAATCAAGCTATGTACTTAGAGGGAAACTAAAAATCAACATGTCAATAAGTACATAATATTATAGAAAAAAAAATGTGTGGCAGTTGTTATGAAAGATATTATTGTTATAGGTTTAAACAAAAAGATTTGCTTTAATAAAAAATGTACGTATTCATGAAATTATTAGATGTGAATGAAGTAATATAAACTAGGCTGTTAATAACATATTTTGAAGATATTTAAAATGCACAATGACAACCATCCAGAAAACATAAAACTTAAATGTTTGTATTACACTTTTTAACAAAATTGATATTTTGAAACAGGGACAGATACCTGTAGATCATACACTAACCCATGATATATGCCCTTCAAATAACAAAGGTATACCTCCTTTAAAATTTCAGCAGTATAATTCATGAAACATCATAGTAACTTGAAACTTTTATATAACATGTATCATCAGAAGATAACTTCTTGATGCTTTGTTAGACTTGGTAATAATAAAGCTGTTTTTTAGTAATAATAGTTCATTAACTCTAGATAGAATCTAAGTTATAAAAATAATATCAATTGTTTTAACTTATATATCCAGTATACATTCATAAGATCAATTTACCCAAAGCTTTCCCGTAGATAATCCTGATATCTAAAGCCAAGTTTCTCATGCCTAAGTATCTTTGCCTCATAACCAGCGTGTAGTGTATTACATTGATCTATTGCTTTTAGGTAGAGTTTATCAAAATATAAGCTGTGTTGCAGGGTTGTAATGAACAAATATTGGGTATAAGTTTGACTAATATTTAAGCTTTTATTTTTTATACAGGAGATTTAATTCCAAGGCACATGCAGATTTTTAGGTCTAATAACTTTTTTGCTGGGGTCAATATACCAGAGCCAGAAGTCAGGGTAAGTGTAAATATATAGTAAAATATTTGCATGACAGTTTTAGCTATTGAATGTTTTTAGCAAATGTAATAAAATTAACATACGTTTGTAAATATTCTATTTTGACAATAAAGATGAAAATTTTACAGAGAAACACTGGAGTTATAAGAGCTCAATTGTTAAACCATTCCCTCCCACCCTCCTTAGCCAAAGAAAGGGTCAGACACTTCCCCATTTTATTTGTCCAGTTGATTCATAAATCTATCTAGCAAATTGTCATCTAGAGTGATAAAGGCTGCATCTTTACATGAGTTCAGGATAAGGGTTGATGAATATATGGGGGATCAGAGCTGATTTAGGGATTAAGTTTCTGTTTGTCGAAGGTGGTTGGGAACCAGGACTTTCCTGATAGGCCAAACGGTCCCTTAACATTCCATAAATTAGTAAAATTTTTATCAGAGCAGATTATATCATTTGCTTATTACAAAATACATAGAAAAGTCAAGTCTTATTTATTATTGACTTTGATAAAATACATTTGGCTAATGAGACTTAACAAAGCTTGCTCTGTCTGTATGCTGTCACCCAAAGAGTTCAAGTAGTTATATTTTTTCCAGTTTGATTAAAAGAAATTAATTTTAGAACTGATTATATTATTTTTTTATATATAACATTTTAATTAATATTAACGTTTGATCAGAGCATGCTACCTACTTAAGTCAGAACTAAAATTCAACTTGGTAATGAGTAAAGGTTATTAAGTATACATTCCTGATGTTTAAGAGAGAGTTATAATTATTTATTGCTACTAACCTATAAATTTATTCATAAATAAGTAAACATAGAATGAATATTTTGTGAAGATTAGTAATGTTTAAAAAATCTCTTCTTTTTGTATGTATAACAGTGACAGATGAAATTTGTCTTTTATAGCCAAAAATATTTCCTTGGAAACTCATAAATTAATTTTTAAGATGAACCTTTTTGTACTTGTACATAAATCTTGTACAGCAGTGAAAGAATTCAGCGTAGGACTCTATATAACATTGATCTGTATTTATTAAAATATGAGCTATTAGGTTAAAAATGATTTATTTTTAGATAAAGATATATTATGTCTTGCAAAGCATTAACTTAAAAACTTCAACAGTTTCTAGAGTATGTAACTTCATAAAACATACTTTTAGTTTTCGCTGTTGGTCTAACTGTTCATTAGGATTACGTATTGAAATTATTTGGATGGCTAGGAATTGTAGTTAAGATAAAAAATTTTGCCAAAATTCACAATTAAACCTCTGAGTACAAAGCTTGTTTATATTATGGGTAAAAAAAAGTTATGTACATTTGAAAAACATATTACTGACTGGGGATGCCTGAATATGTTTGAAAGAGATAAAGATGATTTTATTTCTTCAGAAAAAAATTTTTTTTTCTGTTCTCAAGGGGCCCAGCATGGCCAGATTGTTAGGGTGCTTGACTCACAATTTGAGGGTCACGGGTTTTCATCCCCCTCTCACCAAACATGCTCGCTCTTTCAGCCATGGGGGCATTATAATGTGACAGTCAATCCCACTATTCTTTGGTAAAAGAGTAGCCAATAGTTGGTGGTGGGTGGTGATAACTAGTTGCCTTCCCTCTAGTCTTTTACTGCTAAATTAGGGATGGCTAGGGCAGATAACCCTTGTGTAGCTTTGTGCAAAATTCAAAACAAACCAAACTGCTCTCAAGGTTTTGTTTTATATCTTTTTTTCAAGAGTCTGTATACCACTGTATATCTTTGATACACCATAAAGTAATATTTCAAAATTTGTTGTTACAAGAAGTGTTAAATTCCAATTGAATCTCTCCAATTCTGAGATGTGGAACCTGCTTGGGATTTTTATTTTTACAATGGTGTGGGAGATGGTGACATTGAATAGTTTATTGGCAGGTTGATGTAATATTGTATCAACAAGGTGTAACTCTTGAATGACATACTAAAAACCTTAAAAGTATTCAATACCAAATAGACTGTTGATAAAATTGCAAAAACTAGACATTTGAATTTAATGTTTTCAAATAGCATGGTTATCCTCAACTCTCAAACATAGAATTTGTTTTTATGTTTTTCAAGGATTATTTTTAGTTTTCTCACATTTGAGATCATTAATGTGTTATGTGTAATCCTTTTTTGTTTACTATGCTTAGTTCAATTCATTGCTGTACAAAATGTTGATGAACAAATGTGAATATGTTCTGTAAGTTATAGTAACAACATTCACAGTAGCACTGTTCTTTAATGCTGGGTTTCTTAAACATAGCATAGTATTTACTGATGTAAGATCAATAAAAAACGTTGTTATTAATGTAACATTCTTTCATTTTACAGGATAGTTTGGACAACAAACTCCCAAAATTTATTGATGACAGTGGTTTAGATTTTCTAAAGGTATGAATTATGATGCATTTTGATTGTGTCAGATTGTGAGTAAACACCTGAAATTTTCAGCAGTAGTACTTTTGAAGAGGATACAAGATATTGTTTAGAAATAAAAAACATAAGAGGTGCCAGTTTAGAAAACTAGTTAAGGAATACTTGAGAAAGTTTCAGAGTTTATTATTCCTATAATGATAAAATATACATTATCAACGTTTTATATTTAAATGTCAGATATAATATCCAACCTTATTAACTGGCCATACCTTGCACACCCATTCTGTCAATGATTTCCACCAAAATAAAATGGACAGTTATTTGTTTAGGCAAAAAACATATTGCTTGATAACAGGAGGATTAATTTTATATACATGCTTAATTTAACATATAATTTTGATTAGATACATTGATCATTTGAAAAATACTATATATATGTATGGTATATTCTGGTAAATCTAGATTTACTTAATGAGTAATGGTATAAAAACAGGAGATTCCGTCAGGATACTTACTACAGAGGAATGTTAAATGTCAGAGTCTTAACATCCAGATTTAATCACATATGGCTTAATAGTTGTGTTTTTTGTGTAGTGGATCTATTTGTGTTATTTAACACACATAAATGAGTTCAAGTAATGTTCTTACATGCATGTGGGACCTCACATACACATATTTATTTATACACGTATATTACAATGTACATATATCTTTATTTCATGTCATGGACTACTTATATACATGTATAGTTTACAATACACTGCTCTGACTCCCACACAATTTGCTTCATAACTCTCTAAGGTTACTTTGCGAAACTACTACTTGGTAGCTGTGGTCTAGTAATGTGTGGCCATGTGTTTTTCTTCAGGCATCATGAAATAACTAGTCAGATAAAACTGTTGCAATCCAAGAGTAGTATTTGTGCTGTTACAAAAGTATATATCAGTATATATAAAAACAAAACACAACTCCTTTTCTGCATGTGGAGGAGTTATGCCGTTCAGTTGTACTGAAACAAATCTGGCGAGGACTATACAGTATTTTCTGTAGAGTTCTCATCATCTAGCTAGACCAGGTAAATTATTCTCAACGTTTTGCTGCAGAAAAATTATTTGGTAGCTCTTGGAAAGGAATGGTTGCAAAGCCCTTTCAGCTAGGTTTTTAAATGTGGTCAAAATTCAGTTGTGTAAACTGTTGATGGTATAGGAATTACAGCTACTAACATTAGCTGTCATCAGTGTGTTAATCAAACAGCTATCATCTGACATCCTACTAATATCTTTTAAATAGAAACTCTGCTTGGTAGCTTATAAAGTAAGGGTTGCAGATTGGAGGAGAAATTGGAGGCTATCCTAATTAGAGTAGAGGCAATAAATAAAGAGAAGTTTACACTTTGGGAAATGACAGCAGGATTTCAAGAGGAACTTAAGCTTTTACATGCAAGGAATACATCAGTTAATAATGACTTTCAGGTAGTTAGAAAAAGTAATATTAAGGCTAAAAGTAGTGGATTTAACTGTAATGAGCATGTTCTACTGAGTAACAGATTTCAGCCTTTAGCTTATACAGATAAGGAACTATTGGAGGGAAGGAAAACAAAAGGGACAGAGAAGGATGTGAATGATAAACTTAAGGAGGTTATAGTTATAGATCATTCTTTGACAAGGCATGTGCATAGGATAGTCTGTGAGGTAACTATGGAGAAAATGTGTGTATTTTCTTATAGTAAAGCCACATCGGGCTATCTGCTGTGTTCACCAAGGGAGAAAATAATCAAATTATGCTACCCAGGGGCACAGGTGGAGGATATAATTGACAGAGCAAGAGATATAATTAAGGGGGTTAGCAGTGATGCAGTCTTTGTTGTGCACATAGGAGGCTAATGATGTAGGGAAAGTATGTCAGAGGAGCTAATTGATAAGTACAAGGGGTAGATAAAGGCATTTAAAAAAAGGGCCATAACTTAATTGTGTCAGAGATACTGCCAAGAATTAATTGTGAAGATGAAATTATAAGTAGGTCACTAGAGCTGAATGCTAGGCTTAGGATAATATTTAAGGATGAGAAGATTGGCTGGTTGGATTTGTGAACTTAGTTCAATGAGAGAAGAGAGCTTTTTGAAGAAATAAGAAATAAAATAGATGACTTTAGAGCACTGATACGAATGGAGGATTTTGATGTAATAGGAATAACTGGAACATGGTTAAGTGTTGATATTTCTTTGAAATACAAGGTTATAGATTATTTAGTAGGGATAGAGTACTAAAGAGAGGTGGAGGATTGGCTTTATATGTACAAATGTGAGTTACAGCCTGTTGGAGTTGATGATATCAAAGATTATAGCAAGGAGATTGAATCCATTTGGGTTTCTATTAGCAGATATAAAGGGAAAAGACTTAGTGGGAATTTGTTACAGAACACCAGATGATTTTGATGAAATTAATGAGAAACTTTACAGTGAGATTAAGATTTCAGCTGTCAATGAGGTCATAATTATGGGTGATTTTAATTTCAGGCATATAGATTGGGAAATGCTAGAGTCAAACTGTGAGGGAGAAAGGTTTTTTGAAACTGCAAGATGGTTTTCTTCATCAATTGGTCAAGGAACCTGCTAGGAACAATGCTATTTTAGATTTATTGTTAACTTCAAATATAAAAATGATTGAGAGGGTAGAAACTGGGGAACATCTTGATGTTAGTGATCATTGCTCTATTAGGTTTGATGTTTTGCTGCATATGGAGATCAGGAATAATGATATTTTGGTTACAAGTTTCAAAAAAGCAAATTTTAAAGGGATGCGACAAGAATTATTTGTTGTGAATTGGGCAGCTGAGGTATTTGGAGACACTGATCAGATGTGGAAAATTTTTATGGATACATTTTTTAGTATACAAGATAAACATATTCCTTATACAAAGAAAAGGGTGGCTGCAAGTAAAAAATCAGGTTGACTCAAACAGGGTATGAAATAAAATTAGAGAAAGGCATCACAAATTTAAGAAATTTAAACTGACTGATATGATGGGAGGTTTAAAAGATTATAGAAAATCAAGACAGTTGGTCAAACAAGAAATTAGGACATCAAAAAGGATGTATGAAAAAAGGTTGGCTTAAAATATAAAAATTAACAGTAAGGATATCTTTAAATACATTAAGGGTAAACAAAATGTTAGGATAGGGGTAGGACCCTTGAGGGATGATAAAGGAAGACTCGTGTTTGAAGATTATGAGATGGCTGGGTTATTAAATTCTGCTATTTCTAAGAAAGATTTAATCAATATTCCTCATCCTGAACAGTTGATAGATGGTAACAAGATCAAACAAGTTGATCACATTAATTCTAAGCTTATTAAGAAACAATTGGGAAGTTTAAAGAATGATAAGGCTCCTGAGCCAAATAATACTTCCCTAAGGATGTTGAAGGAGGTTAAGGATTGGATATGTGTGTCATTTGCTAATATTTTTTTGTAAGTCTTTGAATAGTGGGTGGGTGCCAGAGATTTGGAAGTTAGCTAATGTAACTCCTCTTTTCAAGGGAGGAGATAAAAATTGTTCCAGTAATTTTAGACCCATTAGTCTTACATCAGTTATGGAAAATGTTTTTTAAAGTCTGATAAAAGATGCTTTGCAAAGTCACTTAACAAAGTTTAGAATTTTATTGGATAGGCATCATAGTTTCACTAAGGAAAATTCTTGCCCTACAAATCTTTTAACATTCTTAGAAACGTTTACTGCTTATGTTGATGAGGTTAAGGATGTATGTAGATTTTAAGAAAGTATTTGACAAGGTGCTACATTATAGGCTTCTAAAAAAATTGTTTCTGTAGTTGTGGGGGATAATTTGACTAATTGGATAGAAAAGTTGCTGGATGGAAGAAAGCAGAGGGTTGTTATTAATGGAGTTCAGTCAAACTGGATTAATGTCACAAGTGGGATACCTCAGAACTCAGTTTTAGGATCTTTGATCTTTTCAATTTGTATCAATGACAATGATGAAGGAATGATCAATAAACTACTAAAGTCTTGAGTGTTGCTAGCTGTGAAGAGGATGCTGCTGATTTACAAACGATTTAAATCATTTAATGAGTTTAATGAATAAATGGTAGGTTGATTTTACTTATAATATATGCAAGATAAAGCATGTGGGTTATCATAACTTGAATTATAAGTATAATTTGGATGGTAATCATGTTAACAGTGTTATGGAAGAAAAGGATCTTGGTGTGGTGGTTGCTAGTGCTAGGGCAAATAGGATTTTAGGTTGTATCTATAGAAACATTGAATATGAGTGTAAAGAGGTTATAATTTCATTGTATAGGTCACTGGTCAGGCCACATTTGGAGTATTGTGTTCAGTCTTGGGCTCCTTACCTTAGGAAGGACATTGAATTGCTGGAAAAGGTTCAGAGGAGTGTTACTAAGATGATACCTGGGGTGGAAAGGTTGTCATATGAGGAGAGATTAATATCTCTGAAATTGTTTTCTCTGGAAAAAGAATTAGAGGGAATCTGATTGAGGTGTTTAAGATTGTTAGGGGAATTGATAGTGTTGATGCATCATCCTTTTGCATACCTAATATGAATATGTTAGGACTAGGTGGTGCAGATTTAAATTTTATCAGGGTAGATGGCCTTTGAAATGGGTTGCCTCCAGATGTGGTGTAGGCAGTAAATTTAAGTTAGGTTAATGGAGGATTTCATAAATATATGAATGATAAGGGCTGGATTTGAGGTTATGTTTTTACTAATTTTAATTTAGTTTAACATTTAGTGGATGAGAAAGTCTAGAGACACCATTAGGTCTCTTATTTTCCCTAAACATTATGTTATGTTAAAGCCTTTTGGTCTTGTTGATCTTGCAATCAACAAACCATTCTAACTTCATATTATTGAATGATTATCATACAATATTTTGCCTTTCAATTGATTTTCATATTCTTAGTTATAATATTTAGTTATGCGAACAATTGATGTATTAGCCATGACACTTACTAGCTTTAGCTATCCTAGTTTATG